ACATAGATCTTCACGTAATCTTCGAAAATTCCATGTCTTCAGTGGACAGTATAATTTACCAAGTATCTGCTATGCCATCTCTGAATTGATTTTCTTGTGGAAGGCTATTCCCACTCCAAAATATTTTCTGCTTTCTATCCTACATAATTAAAAAGGAAGTAAGTCCAAGTATGGCTATAGAATGTATCTTATTCTATATTCTCTTGTGTATTCTACTCCCTTAACAAGAGGTGGAATTTATTTCTCTACCTTTTTTAATCTGGTGGGCTATGTGAATCCTTTGACCAATAAAATACAGTGAAAGTGATACAGCCAGCCAATCTTCGACCTTAACTGGCCTGGCAGCTTTCACTTCCTCTTTGGAACAGTATCTTAGAATGCCAGATGCCCTACAAAATGTGTGATAACCCTGAGACCATGCTGGAAAAGCCAAAGCCACAGGGAGAGGCTCTAGAAAATGATACATCAGACACATTAGTGAAGAAGCCAAGAAGCAACTCAGTTTCTATTACAGAATTGTGAAAGACAGTAATTGAAGACAAAAGATCCCTGGAATTTGAGGAGAGGGTGTGAAGACGTGTTAAAAAAATGCAATTAATCTTAACAAGTCATCCCACAGAGCTTGGCCTTTTCTAAACTGTCAAAAAAGATTTTATTCTCTAGAGAGGATGAAACAGATGTTCTTCAGAAAAGATAACAGGCAGGGATGCCATACTGAAAAGGTATTAAGTGGAAGTTTGTAAGTTGAATTATGAGCTCCAACCCAGCCTCTTTCACGTACTTGGTTTCCAGAACTATGGCAACCAAGCTTACAACCTCTAGTTTTCTCTTGGGAATTTGACACACTCATGAGAAAAGAACCAGATTTCACATCGGAGATTCTGAGTCCAGCTAAGCCACTGCAGCAGTGATAATTCACCTCTATTGCAGCAAAATCACTTGAGAAGTTTTAAATTTTTTTCCTTACCCAAATTAGCTAAATCGTTCTGGTATAAAACCTGAGTATCTGTGGTTTAAAAATTTCTCTCATTATTCTAGTATACAGCAAAAGGTGAGAATCATTGCTTTATAGTAAAGCTTATGGAAATGACATCCCTGAGTACAGAGATTTTCATCATTGTCCTGCCAACTGACAGTCAACAGTCAACTGAAAGTTAATATTAAAGATAGCATCAGACACATGAAAAAATGTTCATCATCAGGGATGAACATCCCTAGCCATCAGGGAGATTCAAATTAAAACCACATTGAGATACCACCTTACACCAGTTAGAATGGCCGAAATTAGCAAGACAGGAAACAACGTGTGTTGGAGAGGATGTGGAGAAAGGGGAACCCTCTTACACTGTTGGTGGGAATGCAAGTTGTGCAGCCAATTTGGAGAACAGTGTGGAGATTCCTTAAGAAATTAAAAATTGATCCTCCGTATAACCCTGCAATTGCACTACTGGGTATTTACCCCAAAGATACAGATGTAGTGAAAAGAAGGGCCACCTGTACCCCAATGTTCATAGCAGCAATGGCCACGGTTGCCAAACTGTGGAAAGAACCAAGATGCCCTTCAACAGACAAATGGATAAGGAAGATGTGGTCCAAATACACTATGAAGTATTATGCCTCCATCGGAAAGGATGAATACCCAACTTTTGTATCAACATGGATGGGACTAGAAGAGATCATGCTGAGTGAAATAAGTCAAGCAGAGAGAGTCAATTATCAATGGAGCATAACAAATAACACGGAAGACATGGGGAGATGGAGAGAAGGGAGTTGAGGGAAATTGGAGGGGGAGACGAACCATGAGAGACTATGGGCTCTGAAAAACAATCTGAAGGTTTTGAAAGGGCAGGGGGTGGAAGGTTGAGGGAACCCGGTGGTGGGTGTTATGAAGGGCACATATTGCATGGAGCACTGGGTGTGGTGCATAAACAATGGATTCTGTTACACTAAAAAGAAGTTAAATTTTAAAAGGTAGCAAATAAGAAGAAAGCTGCAATTTAGAGAAAACACTATGTAAGTAGAAGAAACATTAGGGGAAAGAATCCAACTATACCAAACATTTACTGAGAAGTATGTTGCATGCTAGAAAACAAAAGCAGTACTTTTTTTTTTTTTAAGACGAATATTAATGAAAATAAAAAGAGCTGTAGTAATTTAAAATGTGGTATTAGGGACGCTAAGGCAGTTTTTTTGTTTTGTTTTGTTTTTTTAAGATTTTATTTCTTTATCTGACAGATCACAAGTAGACAGAGAGGCAGGCAGAGAGGGAGAAGCAGGTTTCCCACTGAGCAGGGAGCCTGATGCGGAGCTTTATTCCAGGACCCTGAGATCATGACCTGAGCTGAAGGCAGAGGCTTAACCCTTTGAGCCATCCAGGCGCCCCAAGGCACATTATTTTTTAAAAATCAGAACTTCAGACACAAAAGGAGGATCTTACAGACTTTCAGCAAGGGAAAAAACCATAAAGGGTCAAGAATAGAACAGCTTCAAATTTCTGAATGGCTACACTGGAAGCAAGAAGACAGGAGATCAATGATCTGAGAATTCTGAGGAAAAAAGATTGCCAAGGTAGAATTCTATATCCAAAGTCTCAAAATATTGCCGCCTCTGTATCCTCTAAAGCAGCTTTTGGAAAATGCATCCTACAGAAATAAGGCCATTAAAGAAAATCAAGAGAATGGCTTCTAAAGTTATTTCCTAGATGGTAATTTATCATTCAATTGCTCTAGAGATTAGAAGAAAAAGGAAATCCATACCAAGAAAGAAGCTGAAGGAATTACAAGTTCGTGGTTAGGGGAGGTCCCAACATAACAGCCTGATCACAGGCCTACAGAGCCACCAGTCCAAACTGCAGTCAGACTCCGTCAAACTTGAGGTCAAAAGGCTCAAGGACAGAGTTCTTCAAGAAGATGAAAACTGATAGAATAAGTAATGTGTTAACACCCTCAGAGGACTCACATATCTGGGGTAGAATTGAGGGTTGAATTAATAATAATTACAAAGAAAACGATACAAACAAATTAGAACAAATGTTAACACGAAATATGTAGAAAGGTCAAGCCATCATATCTTAGTACAAACTGTATTTACATAGTGGAAATAATGCAAATGAAATACAAACACCAATACATTAGGAAGAAAGGTGTGTGTGCATTCATGTTTGTGCTGGGGCCAGGAGCAAGGAGTAGGATGAAGTAATTAAAGAAAGCCAAGTTCTCATCAACCGTGATGGAATATCAAAAGATAATGCCGAAAGGCAAAAACTTTAAAGATAGCAAATTAAACATGTTGAGATAAATAGGTAAATACATAAAGAATCCAGATATATCAGGGCTCCTGGGTGGCTCAGTGGGTTAAAGCCTCTGCCTTCGGCTGGGGTCATGATCTCTGGGTCCTGGGATTGAGCCCCTCATTGGGCTCTCTGCTCAGTGGGGAATCTGCTTCCTCCGTTCGCTCTCTCTGCCTGCCTCTCTGCCTACTTGTTATTTCTGTCAAATAAATAAATAAAATCTCTAAAAAAAAAAAAAAGAATCCAGATATATCATTAGAAAGATTTGACTGAAGAAATAGAGGACTGCAGTTTTTTTGTAACAAGGCTTAAAGGATGCTGACTTTTTAAGCATATTTTTAAGACTAATGGGTTTTTCTCTATTCATCCTTTAGGACTGACCTATTCATTATTTTATCTAGAAAGTCTTCATTTGCTTTTCCAAATGCCCTCTGTATTCAGTCTATTAGCTACCTTTACTTACCCTTGTCATAATACCTATCTTCCAGTATCATTATTGCTTTACTTGTTTTTATACCCCCAGTATAAATTTTCATGCCTTCAGATTGTAAGCTTTTTACAAGCTTTTAAGCTTCATTGTGTAGCACAATTTTTTCTTTCTTTTTTTTTTTTTTTTTTTTTTTTAGATTTTATTTGTTGGGGACAGCATGAGCAGGGAAAGGCAGAGGGACAGGGAGAAACAGACTCTGCTGAGCAGGGAGCCTTTTGCAGGGCTCAGATCCAGGACTCAGGGATCATGACCTGGGCTGTAGGCAGATGCTTAATCGGCTGAGCCACCTGGGTGCCCCTAGTACAATTTCTAATACAGAATGGGAGCTCCATAAATATTTGTCAAGTGAACAACTTGTCATGTACTAAACCATACTTCAGGAACTATTTTGTTGGATCTAATTCTGTCTCCCATTGAGATAGTTACCAGATAACCAATTTGCAGCTTCATGATTCATTATGGTCCCATTATTCTGGCAGGTTCTGTTAAATTCATTATAATGTAAATAATGCTACTTATATTTTTAAATTTTTTTACGTTTGGAGATGTTGCAACATCTAGTGCCTACAGTTTGTAATCTATACAGACATTTTCTATCAATTTCACAAAACTTGAGAACTAAGCTTTGACATGTGGTAATGCTACTTTAAATCTTTCATTGGCATGCTGTAAAGAGTACCTAGTCAGGGTGAAGTAGCATTCCTTCCAGACTTGAGTTTTGTAACTTGGAGTCTGAACTACAGGAAGTCTCCAGAAGGGTCACTAGATCCCCTAAAATTTAATGCAAAATATTACACGTATAGACATTTTTCTGGAAAGAGAAACCATAATTTCTATTATTTTAGGAAAGGGATAAATGACTCCAAAAATTTTAAACAATGCAATTATACCATATATTTTACATTGTGCCATAAATCATAAATCAGAAGCTTTTTACATACTTGATTCCCTAAGCACTCTGAAACAAAAAAATGGGGAAGCTTCTGTTCTAGATTTGAATACACAAAAAAAAAACCCACCAATTTAGCTATGTGGAGTAGAACTGGGATTAAAAGGAAAATCAGCCCATATCCAAAAGTGGGCTGGGTAAATTCTGCACAGAATTCTTAAGAGTTTCAGACTAGTGTTATTTCATATTTTCTGACAAATAAATTTTAATGTTTAAATTACTATATAGACTGTCAGAAAAATAAATCCAAAGATTATGTAAGTACTATTTTGATTATTGGAAAATACTATTTAAGCTCAGTTCACTTGTATCTTGGTTACTGAAATATAATTCAAATGAGAAGCAATGGAGCAGGAGCCAATTTCAGAGGAAGCCTAATCTTTCTTTCAGTGCATGGTTCAGATTTTCATTAATAAAAATGTGTAGTGTTTTAATATGCACACCAGGCTAGCATATTGTAAGTGTGAAATGAGTTTAATTTTATTGAACTTGCTAACTTGCTTAGTCTTGGTGAAAATGAATTTACTGATATGAGACTAGAACATATCTGAACTATGAATGAAAAAGAAGTCAATCTGTTCAGTGATGGAATAGTAAAATATGAGAAGGAGTTTTTGATGGAATGAGGTGGAGGAGCAAAGTGCCTCATTCAGATTTTCCAAACAATCCCCAGTCACTAAATAGGAAAGCATTCATCTATTACTCTTTGGAATATTAAATGATATGTTAAAGAGAGATTTGGTTTGCTTTGTTAAATTTGGTGCTTTGGAGGTCTGAAAACATCTTTTGGCATATCAACTTGCAGTCCACTTGCAACTTTAGTTTTATTAACTTGGGAAATGAGAAAATGTGAAGGGAAAATATGTGGTAGAATATGGGAGGGACGTAGAGCTGAGACTCAGGACTGAAAAATCTGTCTTGCCGCTGTAATATAATCTAGTCTCCTTTGTCAGTAGGCAGAAGCACATTACTGGGTATCATCACAGAAATGAATTTCTGAAGAAAAGCACTGTAATCAAAGCCTTTTAATGAGAAAAAAAAGACAGCCAAACCAGTCCAAGTCACACTGAGGTAAGCTGCTCCTTCCTTAGCAATAGCAAAATACTGAGGATGAAGAGACACCTCTATTCAGAATACAGAGTGAAGCACCTAGTTTTAACAAGTAATGTTTGGTAAGGGAGAAATTGCTCCAAGCTTAGATAAAGTGGTCCCACAAATTTCTCCTTTCTGTCTTCTTTTGTTAAAAAAGGGCAAAACTGAAATAAGAACTTCATGGCGGTGGACGGGGTGGGGGGGGGTTGGGGGAAGGGGTGGCTTCTATGTATCACTGAAGAACCAGTTCAGATGTCACTTTTTTTTTTGAAGATTTTATTTATTTATTTCACAGACAGAGATCACAAGTAGGCAGAGAGGCAGGCAGAGAGAGAGAGAGAGAGGAGAAAGCAGGCCCCTTGCAGAGCAGAGAGCCCAATGCGGGGCTCGATCCCAGGACCCCGGGATCATGAGCTAAGCCGAAGGCAGAGGCTTTAATCCACTGAGCCCCCCATTCCCCCCAGATGTCACCTTTTCTATGTGATCACACACCAGTTAGTTGTTCACTCTTCTGTCTTCACAAACTCTGTGTCATTATACCTAGATCATTATTTGTCATAATTACTGTCTTACTTACTTACTTACTTACTTACTTACTTATTTGTCATCATTACTGCTTTAGTCTCTGATTACACTGCAAGTTACTGAGAGGTGGAGATCAACACTTACTCATCTTTGGCACTATAGAGAAGGAAAAAAGTTCTCTGCCTTCTTAGATTCAGTGTTTGGGCCTGCAAAAAAATACTTGATAAAAGCTAGATTAACCAGAGAAAAACAGTTTATTAGCACATTAACACATGCATGGTACATATATATGGGATAACTCAGTGGTGAATTCAAAGGGGGCTGGTCAGAACCTGGGGTTTATATAGCATCTTTTTTGAGAGAGAGGGAGAGAGTGTATTTGCCTATGTGAGCAGGGCAGGGGCAGGGTGGGGGTGCGGTAGGGTCAGCAGAGGGGGAGAGGGAGAGATTCCTAAGCAGACTCCCATGCTGAGTGCAGAGCCCGACACAGGGCTCAATCTTACAACCTTGAGATTTTGATCGCAGCCAAAATCAATAGTTGGATGCTCAACCAACTGAGTTACCCAGGTGCCCTGCTTATATAGCATCTTAACAAAGAAGAGTGATAAGACAAAGGAAAAGGAGTTGAGGTCCCTAGGGATGGAAAGCTGTGAGAAGGTAAAAATATGGGGGAAGATAAGAGTTGTTTTAGTAGGATTTTGTATGTAGCTTACTCTCATGCTGATAAGAGACTAGAGTTGTCTCTGATGATTTGGAATTATCCTGCTCTTCCTAGTGTAAGAGAGGGCTTGGGAGTTTTTTGTGTCTGCTGCTTCTCAGTTGTCTTCATCTTTTGAAAACAGTCCTTATGTCAAAGTGGTATGTTTTAGCATGAACCCTTTTGAACCTAGTAGGTCCTCAGTTAGTTTTGGAAAAACGTGATAATAATATGCTAACTCTTATGGCTGTATTTGAATGATGGATGGTGGATAAATTATATTGGCTTATGCTTAGACATAGTTACTTTTAAATGCTATAGAACTAACTTAAAAAGAATTTTAAATTGTTCAGTCTCAAAGCCTGTTCTAATTTTGTGCTGGCTTTTTTGCCCTAATGTATAGCATCTCAAATTTAACTGTTAACAGCAAATAGAAGAAGCTTAAGGTACTTAAAAATATGGACATCACTGTTTTCAATTTGAGGCCCCACCCAGAAAGTCACAAAATATTTAATCCAAAGTTTCTCTTTCCAAATGCAATGTGTAGAATGATTTAAAAATAAATAAAACTCAAAAATCTAAAAATCCAGTAGTGCTAAAGGTAACTTATTGGCTATTACTGTCTTCCTTATGTTGGATTTACCTGAATTCTAAACTGAAATTTAAGTCAAGCCTTTAATTCTATACCAGATAGTTATCTTCATCTTGAGGAATTTATCTCTTGATTTGGATTTTATTTTACGAAGTTTAAGCTCAAAGAACTTCAGAGACATATTATTTCTAGAAGTCTTTGATTCAGTCAGTTATGAGTTTCACAGTTGAACTGAGAGCATACTAAGTATACTTGGAATTTTATAGAGAACCTGCCATTTGGCCGTATTGCCATGGAATGTTTCCTGCTAACTCCCTTAAAGTGACACATATTTACTGTTTATGATTGTTCTGGGAACTACACTTAACTATTTAGACTTGAAAAGTCACTTTCATACACTTGAACACAGTTTGGATTTCTGAATGTTACATCTTAACGTGAATAATACTATGCTTCATTTACTGATCTTCTTGAACCTTGATTCAGTTCATTTTATAAAGCAATTCAACTGTTTTGTCATTTTATAAATGTCTATTTTTTAAAAATATGACATCAAATTCCACATAAACTATAGCAAGTTACATTTCTCTGAGTAAGACAAAATGAGACAAAATATAATTTGGAATTATCTTTCCTGGGACATGTGTCTAGCAAATTTGATTATTGCTTCCTCCTAAGCTTGTTTTACTGCATTTCCTATGTGGGATTTAAAGAGAACCTGTAGAAAGTTTGTTTCACACTCATTTTTACAACCCCCCCCCCTTTTTTTTTTGGCCTCTTGTTTTTGTTTTTTTTTAGCCTTTGTCAATGTCCTTTTTTATTTATAAGATTGAAAGTTTTGACCATGATTTATCTCTTTTCTTTCTTAAATTCTTAGTAGCAAAATCAACTGAGCCTGGAGGTTTTGTGTGTGTGTCTGTAAAGAGGTTTCTGAGAAGAAATTCAATTTTTCAAATAGAAACAAGGCTATTCAGATTTTCTTTTTGATCTTGTGTTTGTATTGGAAAGTTGTGTTTTTCAAAGACTTTCCTTGTTGCATCTAAGTTATCAAATTTATTGACATATAGCTATTCATAATACCCTTTCATTTTTTTTTATGTTTGTAGGACTTGTAATGATGTCTGTTCCTTCTTTTATTCCTATTATTCACTGACCCCTGAGTTAAGTATCATCTTTAACCTCCTTTACATGTGGGAAAATAAGGCACCAGTGGTAACTTGTATAACTTGCTAGCTCAAGATGATAGGATTTGCTACTAACCTCTGATTTGCAGTGCACTGTGTTTTTCCATGTGTGTGTTTACCTGAAATATCTCACAAAATTTTATTCAGCAAGCAGTCAAAACTATAACTGGGCTGAAAAATGATATGAAGGAAGATTCAGATCATGTAGTTCTTGAATACCCTTGGCTGGAATAATTCAATATAGGTATTAAAAATAATTGGAAATATTTCAGACCTAAAATTGAAAAATTAGAGATCACAGTTGCTACAAATTGCAGCATTTTTAAAGACTACTTTTTTTTTTTTAAGATTTTATTTATTTATTTAACAGATAGAGGTCACAAGCAGGCAAAGAGGTAGGAGAGCCAAATGTGGGGCTTGATCCCAGGACCCTGGGATCATGACTTGAGCTGAAGGCAGAGGTTTTAACCCACTGAGCCACCCAGGCATCCCTAAAGACAACTTTTCTTTTAGAAAGTAATCATTTGCTGATGCACTGCTTAGCATTGGTCCCTAGTCATCATGATTCTAGTACTATTATGATGGTAGACGGCTATCATCAATTTTTTCCCCTCCTTGTTCAAGCCTGTTATAATCCCATCAATACATAGCAGAGAGAACCTACTCCTCACCTTGAATCTGGGCTGGCCTTAGTGACTTCCTTAAGGAATAAAGTGTGACAGAAGTGGTGTTCTGGGACTAACAAAGCTAGATCATAAAAAGCCTTGCACCTCCGCCTGGGCCTTTTACTCTGTCTTGGGGAAACCAGTTACAATATAGGAAGCTCACCGTGTTCTAGAAGCCATATGATGGTGTTTCAGTCGATAGTAGCATTTTAGCCATATCTATCAAAGTGCCAGACATGTAAGTAAAGCCATCTTGAACACTCCAGACCAGCCAGTCTGCCAGCTGAATGCCACTAAGTGACTAGTAAATGCCATGTCGAACAGAAGAAGCCATGCCCAATGCCTGACCAATGAAGTTTTGAAATATAATAAAATGTTTATTGTTTTAAACCACTAAGTGTTAGAATTGTTACACAGAAGATAACCAGAACAATGACTATTGTGTAGATGGTGGCCCATATCCCTGCCATCTAGCGTTATAAAGATATAATGTGAAAATCCTGATTAGTTGAAAAAGAACCTGGAAAAATGCCACCATTAAATCTTCCATGCTAAGTGGTATATCCCAAGCAACTTTGTTCTCCTCCACAGTGCTAAGATGGGAATACAGTTTCTAAAACATATAAAAATTCTTGCTAACACAGTTATTTCAATTTAATGTTATTAACTATTTCTGGTCTTCAGCCAGTGAAGACTTGATTTTATGTTTAAGATACTGTAATGAACAGGACTTTCTGATTACTGGTTGTCATCTTGAAGAGAAAATAAAAACATCTTTATGTATAATGAAATATTTGAGTCGTAATGCAAGAGCTGAGCTTTGAGGCTTTGGCTGGTAAATATACTGGGCTAGCTCAGATTTCAGGATGCTTTGAAACAAATCTCTGATTGAATGAATCTGTAATAGAGGATTTGCTTCCTGAGAGAATTATCTCTTACTGGAGTGTTAAAAAGCTTTATGTTGGATGCCCATAGAGCCTCATACAACTTAAGTTTAGTCTGTGCCTTGCAGCTGTGTTAGCCAATAAGATCATAAACAATATAACAAAGGTGAATGTATTAAAAAAAATGACTGCTAAATTTAATCAAATCTCTAATACTTTTTTTTTTAAGATTTTATTCATTTGACAGAGAGAGAGAGGGAGATCACAAGTAGGCAGAGAGGCAGGCAGAGAGAGAGGGGGAAGCAGGCTCCCTGCTGAACAGAGAGCTCGATGCGAGGCTCGATCGCAGGACCCCGAGATCATCACCTGAGCCCAAAGCAGAGACTTAACCCACTGAGTCACCCAGGCGCCTTCAAATCTCTAACACTTTTA